TCTAGGTCACTGTTCTTTTATACTTATTGTCTCTGTACTTTCCAAGCACTTGTAAAGTCTATCAGAGCTATAACCTATTTGAAATGCTGAAGGATAAATTATTTTTCCCCTTTTCGATCCTCTGAAGTTTGGAGCAGCGAAACTATTGTAATTCCCTTGAGCATGCAAGAAATTTTGAATGTTTATTCCTATAAATGGCTGATTTGCTTAATGGAATGTGTTGTTCTTTATGTCTAAACATATTCTTCTAACTGGTAAAGACAAATTTATTTATCATAGCAGCAATCCAAGTTCAGTGTGATCCTTTAGGATTTCTATGGAGCTTTCAACGAGATACACCATTGGACGGACTGAATCAAGTATTCATATCAAGTGATGGTGTGGATAGAGCAGAGTTAATTTATTTTCTAGGTTCCTTAAAGATTATTAACAAGCAATAAAAATGTTAAAGTTTACTTGGAAAGACCTTCCCAAAGTCATGGTTCGTTAAGATCTATTGATGGGGTTGTATAGATTGGATTTCCCATGAACTATCACCAAAACTATCTCACTTTGGGGACTTCTACAGACTTAGAAAAAAAGAGCTCTCTATGCGACATTCAAAACTTGTCTTTCTCATGAAATTCTTTGATGATAGAGGGTTTTTATCTTATACCACCCAGAAAGTTTTTTGTGGCTAGCCTTCGTTTTCCCTGTTGGATAATTTCAATGTACTTGAATATTCCTTATTCATTATATCTATTCCAGTTGTTTGAAATGATATTTTCTATCATAATTAATTATTTCTGCTGACAGCTCCCTCTAATAGTGACTTTTTATGCTTGCTAAAAAGAATTGAAGAATAAATTGGACTGGTAAAAAGAGACGCTTCAATATCATGCAGCTTCTGGATCTACCTATGAAAGTCAATCGACAAAACATAATCCACCAGAATTATCCACAAGTACAACAGAGATGTGTATTTCAGCCAGTGCGTAGAATAAAAAAAATGTTTTTAAGATATAAAAGTTGGATATATATTTATTAAACATCAAAAGTAGTATATGAATATAGGTGTCTAAAATGTAATTTAGATAATTTAGGTTCTATCACTACGATGTTAAAAAACATATACAAGAGCATGTAAATGTGAGATCCACATCATATTCAGGTATTAAAGACATTTGGTACACAGTTGTTATGAATTTTACAATCTTGGCCAGGGTTAACAATGAACAGAAGACAAGAATAAAAGAGTCTATTAATTGATAGATTTAAACCTAGATTAAATAAACAGAATAGTGCAATTCATCTATTGTGAAATACTACACATTATTTACCTCTCATCTAAAATTAAAATACTACACGCTATTTACCTCTCATCTAAAATTAAAATACTACACGCTATTTACCTCTCATCTAAAATTAAAATACTACACGCTATTTATCTCTCACCTAAAATTAAAATACTACAC